CAAAACACCATCTACATACTAATGCATTTAGTTTTGCAAATAAAAAACGTATCTATCAAACAAACACATTACATTTTTCAAATAAATCATGTTTCAGAGACAAATTCAGCATAGGTTTTACAAGTACAAAACCTTTTTTTACAAGTACAAAACTTTTTCTACTCATGTCACGGAATATTACTGCCAAAAGTCACGTGAGTCACGTGACTTTTGTGCTACTGAGTCCATTTGAACGGTGGGAGGTTGAACAGAGCATGGAACAGCCCTTGTCTGATGACAGCGGTGTTTCTAGCGATCTGATACCAGACTAACAATATGTTAAATATCTCTCATTGTCTGGCCTTAAGGGAAAATCTGATATCTTTAATCAAATATGGGGGAAATTCTTACAGTTTTAGAAAGGAACTAGATATGACTTTGGCGATTTATATGCTAGATATTATTGAATGAACATCATGCTGATGTTCAGGATACTACCAGCTTTGTAACCTAATGTTGAAACCTTTTGTAAATGTCCCATACCCATTTACATAATTTTTTATAATTTATGTTGTTTTGAGTTTTCTCTTATGAATTATGCTGACACCATTTGTATATTTTATTTATTTAAGTATTACTTTTTTTCTTGTTTATTGTGTTGTTGTATTTATTTTTATTTATTCTCTTGGGGATTATGTGTTTGTGTAATGTCTTAAATTGCTGAAAGAAAAAAATCCAACAGAAGAGTTTGTTGTTGTTTCTGGTGAAAAATGTTAAACTCCACAAGTTACTGTTTTATGTGTAGGATGATATCAAGCAGACTGCAGGAGCTAGCTTACACCAATTATATATATCTTTATATATATTTATATATAAAAATGTGGCTTTTGCCCACCAGTGATCAGTGGAGGAATGAGTGTATATACCCTGAGTTCTCCTTCTGAACCAACATGAAATGTGCCTAGCTTGGTGTAAAGTAGCTCCTGCAGTCTGCTCATACTCATGAAACAGTAAATTAGTTGAGTTAACATTGGCTTTTTCACCAGAAAAAAACAACAAACTCACCTGTTTGTGAACCCATTGTTAAATGAGGTCCGGTATCAGATCGCTGGATCGCTAAAAACACCGCTGTCATCAGAATGGCAAGGGCTGTTCCATAGAGAGGCGAAGTCCCGCCCTTCTACTTCCGCCCCATGGGACCTTATTTCTGAAAAAGTATGTATTGAAGTCAATAGCCGCGTTCACACTGCAGTACTTTTCCCACTTTAGTTCCGATATAGTTCCGAAATGTCGCGTTCACACCAAAAAGAGCCGAACTAAAATTAGTTCATGAGAACCTTTTTACCCCCTTTTCCGTCCCTGCTAGAGAGCAGGTACTTTCGTGGGAGAAAAAGGTTCCTATGTCTGATTGGCTGGGCGGAATGCAAACCACGCCACGTAAAACTCCCAAAAAGTTTTGTGAAGCCGCCATTTTATTATCCTCGCATTAGCATTATTAGCATTAGCATTAGCCCAGCGCAGAAATGCAGAGAGACTAACTTATGGCAACACAAAAGAAAACATGGGAGCGGTGGAGATGAGGAGGTGTCGGCGTTCTGGCGATTTACTCGGAAGGCTTCAGTAGAAGCTGCTGGGACAACTCCGGGGACTTCCGGCCGGGGACTTCGGGTGGCAGTATACGCCGTGAAGTTGTTTGCAGCCTGCCAGTAAACCCAAAGCAGAAGAAGAAGAAGAAGAAGAAGAAGTGACGTCAGCGGCTTCATTTGCCTAATCCTCCCCCAGGGACTTATTCCGGTGTGAACGCGATCTGTACTTAGTTCATGAGAACTAAAGAGTTCTCATTAACTAAGTTCTGATGAACCTTTGTGGGAAAAGTACTGCGGTGTGAAAGCGCCTAATGGGGAGAGAAAACGTATCTTTCGATACCGTTTGAATTGTGCCATGAATTACACATATGATGTTTGGCAATCTTAAAAAATAATTTCCATGTCAAAAAAGTCAGAGTTTGTCGTAAAACTGTTGAAATATAAGACTATGAAAAATACACAACTAGAAAGACTACAAATCGCAGAGTCGCGTAAGTGATGTCACAATTGTTTTCCTCCACTACATATAAGAGATAGCTAAGATAACTTTAACAATATGCCTGTGTGCTTAGTACCAGGTTGTAATCATACCAGCAATGGGTCTTACTCGTTCTTTCGCTTCCCGTCTGATGAAAGGACCAGGAGTGGCTGGCTGGATCAACTTAGCTACCTAGCTAGTAGCAAGCACGTTAGTTAGCATTACAGCCGGCTTAGCCTTGTTATTTTTATTAGCCTTAACATGAAGTAACATTAAGTTAACCACAGTGTTAAACAGTAGAGTAGTAGTCATATTTCGTGAACCCTTTGAAGAGTACTGTCACACCGGTGTGATCATTCTATAATACATCTTTAAGCCCGGATGCCCCCGAGGGAGACATGCTACAGTAACGCTACATTAGCATCGGCGATCTTTTATTACATCATGCTATCTGCACAAATGGTTAACATTGAACATTAAAAAGATCAGGCAGTTCAGGGAGAATCGAAGGAAGGCAGGCAGGCAGCTTTGCATGACATTCTTCTGGACGTGTTTCATTGTGGTGAAAGTGAGGGTAGTCAATCCCTTGTTTGGCAAGACAGTAGTGACGGCCATCTTGGTGACGTGTGTTGTTGTGCGAGACCAGAGATATAGTTCATTGAGCGGTTTCACACAAAAAAAGTCTTACTTCACAGTTTTACGGCAAAACATTTTTTTTTTTACTTGCAAAATTATCTTTTCAATTGACAAACATCATATGTGTAATTCGTGGCACAATTCAAACGGGATCGAAAGATAACGTTTCTCCCGCCATTGACTTCAATACATAATTTTTCTGAAATAAGGACCCATGGAGGTCCACCGGAAAGGGAGGGACTTCGCCTCTCTATGCTCTGCTCAACCTCCTGCCGTCCAAATGGACTCAGTAGCGCCCCCTGCTGCCGTGGAGCATGTGTGAGTGAGCATGTGTACATTTGTGAGAAAATCCTGAGCACAACCACGGCGGAATATTACTGCCAAAAGTCACGTGACTCACAAGACCTTTGGCAGTAATATTCCGTGACTTGAGAAGAAAAAGTTTTGTACTTGTAAAAAAAAGTTTTGTACTGAATTTGTCTCTGAAACATGATTTATTAGAAAAATGTTATGTGTTTGTTTGATAGATACGTTTTTTATTTGCAAAACTAAATGCATTAGTTTGTAGATGGTGTTTTGTATTTGCAAACCACACACATTTGTTAGTGAATCATAAGGCATTTGTAAAACTTGTTTAGTTTGTTTGTGGAGAATGGCAGGAAATTAGCTCCATACAATCACCGCTAAAAGCACTTTAATACAGGGGTATCTTCTCTTGCACTGTATGTAGCTCTTGTATCTTCTCTTGCACTTTATATGTCGTTGCTGCTGTATTGTATTACCATGTCATAAATACTTGTGGATGCTGCTCTTGCTCTTTTGCACTTTTTGTATATCATGTATTTTGTTTTTGCTATGTTTGTCAAATGTAATTTTCTTAAATGTTTTATGTGAGGGACTGTGGATGGAAATTAGCTCAAAGCTAAATCTGGCACTGTTACGCTTGATACATTTTAATGTTTTAAGTGTTCATTACTGTGCATTGTCCCTGCCAAATAAACTATTAAATAAATAAATAACATAACAATATTTGGTATTTTTGCGATTTAGCGCTGCTAGTTTTAGAAGGATATTAATATTTGTAGGCTACTTGTGATCGACCAATAACTAGCAAGATGACAACTTTACATCACAAAGTGCAACTGCAAAAACACGAGATAAAAAAGCGATCTTATTTCACTCACTTTTCCGTAGAGGCTGCTGAACCCGTTTCTGTTTCACTTTCGCCTGGTCCCGTTCCCGGTTCTGGTTCTGACACCCGGGGCGTCCGTCCAGCGCGCTTGTGTTAGCAGCGACACTCAAAGCTAACGGTACTAACAGCTAATTAGCTAACGGCGGCCAATGTTAGCAGCAGTTAGCTTTAGTCTATCAACAATAATAATTCGGTCCTCAAAAGAAACTAGAGTGTATATGAAGACATTTTATCATGAAGTATGACAAAGTTCGACCAAATTCGCACTTGACCATAGACTGTAATAGAGCAATTCACCCGCTCACCATGGTAACTTCATTTTAGAACAGGCGTCACCGCTGAGTGGGAATGAGAGACTACGGGTCAACTTCAGAATGAGGACATTTATATAAACTTCAAAGGTGATAGATTTGATTCAAATAACTTTGTTTTTTAATAAAAAACTAATTTTATTCTTGGGAACATTTCACATTTACAAGAAGAAATTGACTGACTAAACAAAATGTTGCACATTTTTTACTTTAACTTGAATAAAACAGTGTTTTTTATATTCGCTAATCAGTTAATCAATAATCAATTAAAACTTATAATGAATGATTTTGATATGAAACAAGTGTATGAAAAATGTGTGGCCATGATAACTTCCTTTACTTCTTTTAATACTTAAAGGTGGGGTAGGTCCGTTTGAGAAACCGGCTCGAGAAACACTTTTTGTTATATTCCATGGAATGCTCTTAACATCCCGATAGCAATGAATATCTTAAGTGCTTTGACAATAAATCCATAAAAAAATGTCATCTGTGGAAGCCGTAATACTGTAAAAAGCACGACCAATCATTTTAGTCGGCCCGGCTAAAATAACTGGATGGCCTACCTGCCTGTCAGCCTTCCATCTGTGCACAAACTTATCTTGCGCCCTCATTGGTCATGTGCGCGTTCGTGTGTGTTGGAGGAGGGGCTCTGTAAGGAAGTGGCAGATTTTTTCCGGTTGTGTATTTTCAAATTCTAGCGCACTCAAGCTGGTTTTCTCCAAAATTACCTACCCCACCTTTAAATATATAAAAGAGAGAGTACTTCTGTGCTGCCTCATGGTGTGCAGGAGGTTATAGATGTCTTCAACAGGAAGTGCTCACAGAGACGGTGTGTCTGACAGCGAGCATTCAGAGGACGAGAGATCCAGCATCTTGTGTGTGGTGATGTGGTTTAGGAGGTCAATAGGTGTCACAACACTAACCACCATCTGCCTCTGACAAGTTGACCCATCAGCCCCATCTGGAGAGACAGAGTAGACTGAAGTTACACTGACAATACTCTCTAAAAATCCTTAACAACAATATCAGCCTATACAAGCACATTTAAAGTGGACACCATTATCAAAATGAAGCAGCAATTGTATCACCTTCACACCCAAAACCATCACTACTGATCAGCTCAGGATGTGTGTGCATGTTGTCATCCCTAATCTACCATCTACAATTAAACAAATGCAAAATTCTTAAGAAAATGCTATCCGGCCATGATTTTCTTTTAAACCATATATGGACACATGTTAAACTGAGAATTGAGTTAGTACAAAAAAACGTTTCCTTCAACATCTAAATGTAAAAACAGTGTCTGCACGTACATGATTCTGCACAGTGAAGCTTAAGTAGGCCTAAGTAACAAAAGAGGAAATGTATGGAGCTAATTTCCTGCCATAACTCCACAAACAAACTAAACAGGTTTTACAAATGCCTTATGATTCACTAACAAACACAATGTGGTTTGCAAATACAAAACACCATCTACAAACTAATGAATTTAGTTTTGCAAAGAAAAAACGTATCTATCAAACAAACACATAACATTTTTCTAATAAATCATGTTTCAGAGACAAATTCAGCTTAGGTTTTACAAGTACACAACTTTTTTTTACAAGTGCACAAATTTGTTTTACAACTACAACACTTTGTTTTACAACTACAAAACTTTTTTTTACAAGTACAAAACTTTTTCTTCTCACGGCGGAATATTACTGCCAAAAGTCACGTGACTCAGTCACGTGACTTTTGGCAGTAATATTCCGCCGTGAGAAGAAAAAGTTTTGTAGTTGTAAAAACAAGTTTTGTAGTTGTAAAAATAAGTGTTGTAGTTGTAAAAAAAATGTGTGTACTTGTAAAACCTATGCTGAATTTGTCTATGAAACATGATTTATTAGAATAATGGTATGTGTTTATTTGATAGATACGTTTTTTCTTTGCAAAACTAAATGCATTAGTTTGTAGATGGTGTTTTGTATTTGCAAACCACATTGTGTTTGTTAGTGAATCATGAGGCATTTGTAAAACCTGTTTAGTTTGTTTGTGGAGTTATGGCAGGAAATTAGCTCCATAGGAATGTCTCTTTTTTTCTAGGGGAAGGGAGACTTTAAAATGAATATGTGAGTTTAAAGGCACTTCAATCAGTGTGCGAAAGGCTCCAGGCTTTTTCAAACACAGCAACAAATGTCCCTGTTTTAAGATTTCAGCCACTAGGTGGAGTCCTTTATCAACCCATCTGTGCTGCTGAGTTGCAGAAAAGCAACAAGCTTACCAACCTAAACAAAATAGTATCTTACTCTGAGCCGCATCATTCACCACCAGGGCGAAGGGGTTGGTTTTGAGAATGTGGGACAGCTTGCCCAGGTTATCTGTCAGGTGCAGCTGGGAGAACAAGTGTAGAGAGTCCATCATGTAAACATGTTCACTTTGAATGCATGGAATGTTATAGTATGCTAAACAATGTGTTTCTACGGACTGACCTGTTTGTAATGCTTGCAGAGCACCTTGCTGACAGCGTCTGAGAGTTTGACCTCTCCAGCCGTCACAGAGGACAAAATTGTTCCCAGAGTCACCATCCCCTGGATCACACTGTGGAAACACACACACAGATAATATATTAGCTATGACACAGTTCCTATGGCTTTAAATGAGGAGTGTAAACTGTCTGTACCGGTATAATGATATCAGTATTCTGATTAAATGTTCGGGAAATTTCTGGAAGTCAAGTGTAGACGACGACGTAGGTTTACAAATCAGAAGTGCACATTCAAAAAGAGAAAGCGGTACCACTTTACAATAAGACTACCCTTATAAAGGATTCATACAGGGTTTATAATTAGGTTATTAATTAGGTTGTAAACACTTTATTATTAATTAAGAACCATTTATAAACCAGTTCTAACATAGTTTTCATACATCAACACAGGCTCACTATTTGGCAAGATGACTAAGCCTTATATTGGCACTAGCTTACTTCGTCTTCTTCATCAGCCAGCATCCTTGGTATCTGTTGTTCACTGAGTTGATTCCTCCCATCCATCTTGATGTTTCTTGGCATCTCTTTATGACCATTTATTTATTAGTTACTAACATTTATAACTGCCAAAAGGGAGCCTTGTAAAGTGTTAAACAAATCACCATTTATTAATGAGTTACTACCATTTATAAGTTATATTAAAGCTCCCATGTCATGCTTTTCCGGTTATTACCCGTCCCCTTGTGTGTTATGAAGGTTTTTATGCATGTAAACGGTGTGCAGAGTCAAAACCCTCAAAGTACACCCTGTAGCGAGTAAAACTCTAACACAGAAAATACCTCCCCAAAACGCCTCGTTGGAGATACGTCACTGCCCATTTGATTCTTCCGGGTACCGCATGATGTCATGCGGTACCCGGAACGAAATGGACCAATCCCGAAGAGCTATGGCCACACCAGCAGCGGCGTGTTCCTCCTCCAGAGGTTCGAAGAACCGGCATTTCACAGACGAAAGCTTCCAAAACATTGCCCAGTTTGAGGCCGGATATGCACAGCTTGTTTGGACCGTTTGGAGCAGGGGAAGATCTGGGTATACAACCTGTAAGTTTGCATTGTTATTTGTGTATTTATCAAACAAGACTGTTTAAATGTGTAAACTGTGTTGGACTGCTAAGCCATTGACACAGTGCTAACTGTGCTAACTAAGTTGCTAGAGTTTCCATATATCAACTCTAATATCAGCAGATGGCCTTGCATACATGTATCTCATAGCAGGAGAATGTCTGCATTCACACACAAAATACCTATTGACAGTATACTCCGGGTGATTTGCCGGTCAGTCGCGAAACGTAATTACATTATAGCTGGCGTAGCGATCTAACACACGGAGCTAGAGCTAGTTTTGGTCAGAAAAACATTTTTGTGATGCTACGTTGCTAGCGTTTAAATATATCAACTACAATGTCAGCAGATGGCCTTACATGTTTGTCATGGCAGGAGAATGTCTGCAGTCACACACACGGAATACTCATACAGTATACTGTACTGTGATTTACCGTACATTGTGACCGTACATATACTGCATGTAGCTAACGAGGCTAGCTGTATGCTAGCGCAAAACAATGTATTCATGCAAGTTACATTGTATGGTAGCAGAATACCCGTATACGATTGCAATTATAAACACGTTATTGCTAGCCTAATATGAACCACTAGCTTTTGTTCATAGTAGTTTTATTACACTGCATTATAGTTGCCTTTCCTCCAAGCTAACGTTCATATCGTGTTAGCTACCAAGGTAAACAAAGCTAGGTTAGCATATTAGCAGGCAAGCTGTTCATTACACAACTACTACTAACTAATCTAAAACAACTAAGTTTCTCTAATATTTTGTGATTTGCATTTGATTTCGTCCAGCCAGATCCTGGCGGACAATCCATGACGGGGAAGGGATTCTACTACTACTGAGGCTTCGTGCTAAAAGGCACCGCACCGCACCGGCTGTGCGCAGGCAAGAGGAGGAGGAATGGATGATATACCGTGTGTATATATGTATATTTATGTTCATTTTGTACATTTCTAAAAATAAAGTTTAATGGAAATACTTAGTAGGCCTATCCTTTCTTCCCTGAATTCATATATAGCAAACCATGATTTGATTTCTCATCAAACAGTAGTAGTTTATAACGGGTAAAAATAACTTACTCTTTGTTATGAGAGTAGCTCGTAGGCCACAACGGAAAGACAAGGAGACATACACGAGTTTACAAAACCACGGCACATTTATTGTGGTAAATGCAAAGATAGGTGGTTGAGAGGATCGCAGAGTTAGTCTTCCTGCAGCCGCTTTGGAGAGAGACTGTGTCCGGAGGTGTCCGTGATCGTGCTGATTAGCCTCTTCAGCTCCACCCCATCGTAAGACAAAGGCCCTGGGGCCGTCACACTCTTCTATAACAACAGTTAAAAATATATATGTATATAAAATATACCGCTGTACCGACGCCATGATAAGACTGATGTTACGCTGAGAGCAGCCGGGAAAAGCACTGACATGGGCGCAGCCTCTCTGGTGGTTGACTAATCAGAACGAGTGGCCGAGCTGACCAATCGGAGCACACTAGGCTCACAGGGAGGGGGGGGCAAGAGCTCCAACGAGTCGTTTAGTGGAGAAAGTGAATACTGCTGAATACACATGCTTGACAGAGATGCTGTATGCGAAACCAATGTGAGTTTGGAAAATTGCACAGTATAAATCTATTTTAGTATACCTCAACAATGTAATTATGATCAGTGGAAATGGCCATGACATGGGCCCTTTAAGCCTTAAAGTTATGCATAAATTAGGGCGTGGTCACATTGAGTGACAGGTATGTCCAGTGACTGCTGCTGTTAGATTTCTGCACTGCTAGCAGCTCCGTGATGCTACAGGGGCTCAGCCTGCTCAACTCATCCGGGGAACATAACTTGAACTCGGCCGTGTTTGTTTTGCTGGTGCCTTGTGGACTATTCTTCATGCTTCTATCGGACTATTGTGACTCGCTCTGCGGTTAAAACAGACGGTGCATAAATGCGGTTTTGCGGTAAGTGAAATTCGAGAACTTTATTTATGTGTGGCTTATGTTTTGAGTCAGCTAACGTTAATGAATGTAGGCTTGGGTTAGCATGTAAGCAAGTGGTAGCTACATCTGTGCTAACGATGCTAATCGTAGCCTCCAAGTTAAAACGTAATAGAGAAGTGTTAAGGATTAAGTGGGATAATACTGTAGAATAAACGGCTTCTGTTTGAGGTTGGTAAAATAAGGTCATCCTTGTAAGTTAGATAGATATTTTATGAGGTAGGTAACTGTATGCATGCATCGCTAAGGTTCATTTAAATTCGCTATGATCGATCATGTAGACAAGCCAGAGGTGGGGACTCGAGTCACATGACTTGACTCGAGTCAGACTCGAGTCGCATATTTTTGACTTGAGACTTGCTTGACTAACATTGATAAAAGACTTGACTTGACTTTGACTTGGTATTCATGACTTGAGACTTGACTTAAGCTTGAGACAGATGACTTGAAAGGACTTGTCTGTTTAAAATTAAATATTTGCGTTTGTTTTTGTAGTGAGATATTGCATTTAGTTTTTTCGAAAAACGTGATTGGGTGATTATAGCGCCGTGCGCGCAAACCTGGCAACCCACTAGACGGCAGGACCGTCAGTTAACATGGCAGCGGCTAGCGTTACTCCACAAATAGTGAAGATGGATTCAAGGATTATGTTGTTGATGACGCTAATAAGAAGAGAGCAGCGGTATGCAGGGTCTGCAGCATAAAGATCAGTGACACGACCACCACAACATCCAACTTCATTCGTCACTACAAAAAAAATCCACAGAGAAAGGTGCGTGAATGTGTTGTGTTAGCTAGAAAGCTAACGTTAAGTTTAAGCTACGTTAGACTTGGTTTCAAATCGATTAAGCATTACAAAGAGAAGACAAAACGGTAAATGAACACTAGAACCGCCAAGGGATTCATTTTGACTAACCCTGATACTGACGGGCCGTCAGGAGAGGGAGAGAGAGAGAGAGGAAAAAAGATGCCTCGTTTATTTCCCCTGTGTTATCAGAAGTTACTGTAAACTGTTGAATAATGTAGTTCATCTACTTTTAGTAGTTTGTTTCAATGTTTTAATTATGTTGTTTTTGTTTGTAGAAGTGCATCATTCCTTGATTTATTGTAAAATGAATCTGAACTTTTTGATCTGTTATGATGATAAACTGAAGCAATTTCTAAATTAACCCAATTAAGTGAGTTTTAAATCGTCCTACTTAGTTTATAAGGAAATTATGAAGAGGAACAAATTAAATGATTTGAAAATGATATCTATGTAGGTGCTGACGCTGTTGGCGGTTCTATTGTTAACAGAAATTTAAATTAAATATGTGTAATGGCAAATGCCATATATGATTTTCTTACCTGGAATTCTGCCTTTTTGAACAGACTTTTTGATTGAGTCCTAGCTATATTGTCTGCAGTTCTAGGGTTAATATGAATCTAATATGATTGTCATCGGTCTAAATTAGATTTCAAATGATTAACTGTGTATGTAATGAAGATCATAGTGTGGGTTAAATCCATTTTCATAACCACTGTCTTTTAACTGATTTAAATGCGGAAACTGGGCTTATTCATCAGAATTTCGTAAGACTTGACTTGACTTGACCTGAGCAATGACTTGACTTGACTTGCTTGACTCTCACCACAGTGACTTGGGACTTGCTTGATACTTGTAGGTCAAGACTTGAGACTTGCTCATGACTTGCACATGTAGGACTTACTCCCACCTCTGGAAGGTAGTCAATCGTTTTGTTGACAAGACAGTAGTGACGGCCATCTTGGTGACGTGTGTTGTTGACCAGAGATGTAGTTCATTGAGCGTTTCACACAAACAAATGTGTTACTTCACAGTTTTACGACACATTTTTTTTTTTTTGACTTGCAAAATTATCTTTTAAATTGACAAACATCATATGTGTAATTCGTGGCACAATTCAAACGGGATCGATAGATAATCTTTCTCTCTCCATTGACTTCAATACATAATTTTTCCGAAATAAGGTCCCATGGAGGTCCACCGGAAGGGGAGGGACTTCGCCACTCTATGTGCGTCAGTAGTTGCAGGAAAATTATGCCGTCTTAATCTTCGTCTTGTGTGCGTAAATGAACGTGAGTGTTTGTCCACAGTGCTGCCTGTTATGTTGTTCTACACTTTATTATTATTGTGATAACTTCTGTGCCGATGTGGCTTAATGCAGAGTCTCCGTGCTCATGTGATCTGTGCATGCTGCGTGCATATTTATTATGGCAGCTCAGTGGCACAGACCTATTATTAATGTAATAGGATGTAATTTATGTGGATAAATGTTTATGTGGCGTTAAAGGTGAGATATTATGTGTTTACAGTTCATTTATTGCTCCGCTACTCGGCTACCGGAAGTAGCATGTCTGTAGCGTTTCACAATAAGAGCATCGGCTGCCGCTTTCCGCCAACCGGAAGTGGAACGTTATTCATTAGCGGTAGCTTAACTTTGAATCTCTGCGTGTCCCTCGTAATGAGTGTTTGACATTATATGTTAATGTGTTTATGATTATAAGAGAAGGGAGACATGTTGTATTATAGCTTGTCTAGATTATTATTTCTATAGGGTTTGGCATTATTATGTATATTATTTATGTATGCATAAGTTATCTTATATTGATTGTATTTTGTTTATTTCCCTTGTAGGAAAAACCACACACAGACAAATATCTGTATGTCTGCCTAAATAAGTAAAGAAGTCAAGCCTCATCTTAGCTCCTCATTTCCTCTATTCTGGACCTTTGGCCTTAAGTGGTGTTCTGGCCGACACACCTGCGTGAACCTAGTGATAAACACAAAACTAGTGCCAACACTGAGTTATCTCTAACTCTCCACTACAGTCATACTAAACAGTCATTATTTTGAGGCCTGATTTTCTTCATGTGTGTTGCTTGGTTCTGTTGCATCTTACTTTGCATTTCATGTGAAAAATGTGTATTAGGTAAGCGTGAATGTTATAACTCATTCATAAATGGACATGTGTATTAAACTTAAAAACAACGCACCCTTTCAGTAGTTATAAATGTTAGTGACTCATCAATAGATGGTGATGTGTTTCACACTTTACAATAAGGCTCCCTTTTACCAATGATAAATGGTAGTAACTCATTCATAGATGGTCATAAGAGATGCCAAGAAACATCAAGATGGATGGGGGGAGAATCAATTCAGTGAGCAACAGATACCAAGGATGCTGGCTGATGAAGAAGACAAAGTAAGCTAAGTAGCCAATATAAGGCTTAGCAGTACAGATAAATGTGGGCTCACTATTTGGCAAGCAACCGGTCACAGTTGCCCTGTTTATCTCATGTCTTATAAAAGCTTATTAATGATTTATAAAGTGTTCAAAACCTAATTAATAAATGAATTACAAACTATTCGTAAACCCTTTATAAGGGTAGTCTTATTGTAAAGTGGTACAGAGAAAGCTATGAACATGGACAACACAGCTCATAAATAGCATATATAGCAGGGCAAAGAAGACATGCAGACAAAGCTCATGAGTGTGAAGCTGATGTTGTGCTTACAAACTGCAACCAACAAAACCTGATCATTGTGCCTTTAATGCAACTTGAGGAAATGTCGGCTATGCTGATGAAATTGGGCTATATAACTTAAACATAATTTACTTTAATGATTTAAATAAATAGTGGAAGACCCAGGGGTTTCGATAGTGGGAAAATATATATATTTTAAATTAATGAAGTCATTTATAGTATATGTCTTTAAAAACAGCAGGTTGTGCTATGAGAGGAGGACCAGATAAAAAACAAAGTATATGAAAACAATCAAACATTCTTTTGAAGAGATATACCCTGACTTATCGACGACTGGGGCCTGGTCGAAGGCTTTCTCCTTCAGGATCTCGATGGTTTTCTGGCAGGATACAGACGGTAACACAGTGAAGGTGGCAGACAGCTTCAGACACTGGACCGTCATGTTCCACCACCTTAAAGAGAGGAAGTTATTTGACATCTGGATAAGGTTTCCCGTTAGCCTTATGATTAACTTTCTCACCAGGGTTTGAGGTCCATTGGCTCCTCGGGGCTGAGGAAGCCCTTTTCACACATCCAATTGTCATTCAGGAACTTTGACCTGGACGTAGCAATGAGTTTGTGCACAAAACAAAACAGATAATTGGCAACTCTTGTTTTTGACACAATACCACGTTTTGGTTAGGCTCGAGACTAAAGTTGTTACTTTCCATCATTATTAGGGGATGCAGCCAGCAATGTGTTGTTGTGTGTCTTCCCCTAACAGCCAGGCCCTTTGGTTTAGTATCAAAGTGTCTGTCCTAGTAACTTCATCATGGTGGACAGGCAAATTAAAACAACAGATAATCCTGACTGGACACTCACTGCACCATGTCCTCTGTCTGTTTGTTTTGTGAGCAACTATTTATTTAGCTGAGATCACAAAAGCTCAAAGATGTATAAAAAAACAAAAATAAATTAAGAAAATATTTAAATAAATGCAAATAATTATTCAAATAGAAACAACAACAATAGAATCCAGTAATCATAATGAGAAGCAGCCAACGTTCAGTAGAAGACACCAAAACAAGGATAACAGTGAGGCTCAGTTAAATCAAGTATAGTAGAATTAGCACCATGTTAATTGGATGTTTATCTTTCTGGGTGTCAATATTATTAAGTAATGTTACGAGAGTTCAGTAAATCTGTGTCTTACATGTAGTTGCGGACAGAGTCTGCCAGGATGACCACGCAGCGCTGTCCCTCCTCCAGCTGCTGAGCCATCTTCACTGCTGCTGCCATGGCCGAGCCAGAGCTGCCACCTGCAGAAAAAAACAAAAAGGAATTCAAACTTAATGAGAGGGAACTAATGACTGTAGCAAAATGTACAATATAAGGAAAACCTGAACCGTATCATAGTGATCGTACCACAAAGAAGGCCCTCTTCTCTGATCAGCTTGCGACACATGGTAAACGTCTCCATATCAGTCGATTTATACCACATGTCAACAAGCTACATGAAGGGAGAGGGAAACACATGATTATTGCTCAGTGTGCCGATTAAACCAAAATGTGTATCTTGCACAGTTTAAATGTATGCATGCACAAACTCTCTCACAGATCTGTCCAACACTGTTGGGATAAAGTCGTATCCAATGCCTTCCACTTCATAGGAAGTCTTATTTTCATTTGATCCAATCAGAATGGAGCCCTCCGGAACCACAGCAACTATCTGAAACATAGAAAACAATAGTGAAAACTGTAAACTCTGAAGTGTAAAAATGTAAAGTCAGCACCACCGCCCTGAAACATAAACTCACCTGAACATCACGTGTTCTCCATACAAATCTTCTAATCGTTTTAGCTAAATATAAAGCAATGAATGAGGTTCTTAATCACAATGAGGTGTGTGTCTTGCCTTGACATTGGGGCACCTCTCCTTCAACTTCCGAGCAACACCAGTTAGTGTCCCGCCTGTGCCAACTCCTGCCACCAACATGTCCAATTTCCCTGGAAGCAAAAGCAACCCTTTCTTTTCCAATCTTTAGGAATAGTTTAGCATAAATCTACACAGGACACTTATGGCTATTCCTTGTATTTGTTTTACACATGTTGGTCTTCTAAAGGACTAAGCATAGAGCATCACTGAGCTAAATCATATTGTGTGGACTGCCGTACAATGTTAAAGCACAAACCACCACACTGCTCCAGTATCTCTTCAGCTGTGGTGTCGTAGTGAGCCAGAGGATTGCTGGCATTACGATATTGGTCCAGGATGTGTGAGTTGGGTATCTGGCTCTTCAGACGCCACGCCATGATTATGTGAGACTCTGGGGAGTCGAAGGCAGCAGCAGAAGGTGTGCGCACTACTTCTGCCCCGAGAGCTCTCAGCACATCCTCCTAAAAACATATAGTGGAATTACATTTCATTAGCCACTAGTCTATAATGCACTAGTATTGATCATTAAAGGAGGACTACAAATTTACCATTTCCATATCTATTACACAATTACTATATCAAAACATCTGTTTACAAAGTCTCACACTATGCTTTCAATATAATCAAAATCTCATTCATCCAGTCACTACTTCACAAACACATACATGTTTGCATTAAAACATGTTATTTAAAACACTTCAACATAAATAGTCCATGTGTGCGCAGCGAATCTGTGAGACAATGGACAAGTCCAATGTATTAAATCCTGAGCTGAAGTGAAATTCATTTGGGAAGTAGTTAAATGAGACTTGGATTGCTCTGCATGCATTTTGTGAGGGTTGGTCAACTCATGTTTTGATATAGATTTGCCGTTGTTAAATGTGTGCTGTTCTCTTATCCATATATTCTTCGTTCATCATGGAGCCGTGCCAGAAAAACTATGTTTTTCTCCAAAAATGTAAGCTAATGCAGGATGAGGATCTGACACATGATTATTTTGTTGGTAATATTCCTTTAAAGGAGTTGTGTACCTTCTCCATGCTCATCCTCTCAGGCATGGTTATGATGCATCGGTAGCCTTTCACTGCAGCTGTGAGGGCGAGGCCGAGACCTGCAGACGGCCAGAGGAGAATTCAAGCAACGTGCCATGTTCCTTTAAGTTATAGTTTTCTGTGTTCTCGCCTTGATAACAAGCTGTTCCTACATCTTTCTTTACAGGTACCTGTGTTGCCAGAGGTGGGCTCGATGATTGTATCTCCTGGTTTGAGGATCCCGGCTCGCTCAGCGTCTTCCACCATCCGCACGGCGATCCTATCTTTCACGCTGCCGCCTGCATTGAAGAACTCGCACTTGGCTACTAAATAACACATTTAAAAAGAAACATGAGTGTTGAAGTTTGATTCATCGTCTCTGCTATTATTTTATTGTTAATCACTGTTACAGTATAGGATGCAAAATCCAACAAGTTAGCATTGCAGGTTGCTTTCTTCCTTTTTCCCAACATAATTTTTTTGTGTATAGTATTATTTTAAGTTATTTAATCGGTTAACTATAACAGAACAGAAGCTTGTTCAGTTTTTGCAGATTATCTGATCAATTAGTGACAGGGACGGCAGGTGTGCATCATTATTTCATCTGAACAGACTGGAACTAGTCTGACCAAGTTGTAAAAAAACCTGTGTGACATCCAATTCAAGTTTCATTCAAAGATATTTTCTTTGCATGCCAGCAGTAAATGAGGAATGTTACATGAAAGTGTTGCTTGTTATTCCTGTTATTTTGTTTAAGAAAATGTTTTCTGTCACTTTACTATGGTATTTGTTTGTGATAAGTGTTAAGGAATAATTCTTCTAGATATCTAACCTTTTGCTCTGTGACGTTTTATGATCTACTCTGACGTCTGTTATCTCCTTTAAGGAAAGGCATTGGTGCCATATGTGTTGTTGTCACCAGTTTGTGACCGGTCAACTTGTCTGGCACGAATGGTAATTGTTGTGAGAACGCTAAGGCACTTCCTTATCGGTGTTTGTGGACTCTAAGATGTGAAATCTTTGAGGCCATGAGTGTCGGACGCAGGTGGCTCAGTGTTCCCAGCTGTTTAGTCTACTCCTTCAGAGATGTTGATTCTCTGTGAACCAGTTAAAAGGTCTAGCATAGAGAGAGGCTCTTCAGAATTGACGTGGCAACTCTACCGTGAAGTCGGAACCTCTGACTCTTTGACTTGTGATGTGAATCCTCCGGCCGAATACTCTGAATATACCCATCAGTGTTTGACATCAAAGCTCCAACTCTCACCGTGTCTCCTTCCTGAGTCGGTGACTCCATGCATTGCTACACAGAAGTTTCCTCCACAATAAGTCAAAGTTGTATTATTATTATATAAAGCTAAAAGTAACGATTTTACCAAAAAAGAACGTTTACTTACAAATATCACACTTGAGTCCAAACTCTTTAGGGATTCTGTTCAAACGAACCAGAGGTGTGTCTCCAATTTTTCCAAGGATGTTGGGGAGGATGCTGGGGGGCTCCATGCTGTGATTGAGTGAAAAAGTTACAATCAGCAGTTAGTAAATACAATAGGATATTGTCACTTTACCTTATGAAGGTAATTTACATGGAAGCAATCCTGTGGAGTATTTAACCACTGTTATGGCCATATTGAAGAATGTTTTTATGCCAATGGGTTCTTACTATTCAACAAATCAACAGGTGGTGGTGACATAAACACAAAAACATGCAAACAAAGGCAGGGAAGAAGAAGACTGCAATTTCATAAACACTGATGAGAGACAGTACCAGTTTCAGATTTCAAAAGGTTTGGAAAATAAACATTGCAAATTCTTTGAACAGGTTTGTTGGATGGATACACAAAATGCGTCTTATTACTTTGCTTACCAAAAAACTCCACAGAGTGTCTTTAACAGAGCAGAGTTAGCATTAATGTCATAGTATGACAATTGTAATTAGCTACAGCTGTGGTTTCCCTGAAAATAACTCAAAATCTGCAGAAATGGCTTGCTAACACAGCTGAGTCTCTGTTTAAAGTTGTTTTGTATTCTTTTGTATATCTGTTTTTATCTATTTCACTTTTTATATGAATTCCCCTCACAATGTTTTTGTTATGGACTAATTCATACTAAATGATTAAATTACCAATAAGGTTTTCAAATATTGATTATTTCATCACTTTAAAGTGATTATTTTAACAAAGGCAAATATTGATTTCTATCTGACTAACATCACCCTCACCGTGCTTGGAGGCTGTGTGGAGACTCTGAAATGAGTGCATCCAGGCTCCAGGTACATCTGCTGGGCACATCAGGGCTGATCCAGTTCCACTTGTCAGCAGATTTGTCTCTGTAGTCCGGCTCAAAATGACTTCCCATCCCACTCTCATGGTGAGATTCAAGCTCACCTTTAAGACAATCCTGTTCTCCATTTGCAGATAACATGTGACGACTGGCAGACATTTGATCCTGACTGATATCTGCTTTTATAACGTTTGCTGGAACTGGGCAAAGGGTAGAAACTTCTTTGAAAACATGTACTTAAAATGTACTGCATGGATCACCTGTATGGAGATAGGAGAGGTACTACAAGCAACCATCAAACATTAACAAAATCCTGACTTTAATCAATAAATAGCATGTTCTCTCTACTTAAATCTGGCCCAACATGTCCTGTACTTAAGAGTTTGACTCAGTTTGGACTTTGTGAACTAAACGATTATTTCACAGAAAGGTTTAAAACAGTTGATTATATCACCAGAAAGAGAGATGCTGTTCTGAATATAGAAGTGCAATTTAGGAGGAGGTTAATGAAAATGATCTTTGGTCTTGTTCCTGTCATGTTTAAATTATAAAACACATTTTGATTTGTCAAGAACAGCAACTTTGCCCTATTTAAAATAAATGATGATGCTAATAATCTTGTAGACTACTTTTAGATGCAGGACTTTACTTGAAATTAAGTCGTTTTTAAATGTGGTATTACTACTTATACTTCAGTATATCTTAGTATTTTGTGCACCTCTAACTTAATATTTTATACTTTTATTTACCAACTTTTTAGACTAAATGTGATATGTAGAATGTTTTTACAGATTAAGTGATGGAATAATCATTAGCTTAATTTCTGTTTATGAGGTATAAGGTGGTCATAATAGGTTAATAGTCATACTGTATCTTGAACAATACCGATTTTGATGTAGTCTTTTGTTCTATTTTATTTGACAGATGGTCAAAAATAAGCAATCCAGATAAACATTCTATCATTTAATTTAAAGAAAAATATCCTATTGATCCTTTTGATTGGACAATATAGGCCTACGATTTAAAATGTTATATTAATTCACGATAACCATTGCAACAAACAGAAACAAGGATATTTTGTCCCAGACATTTTTTGGTTACTTCTCATCCTGCCGACATGAAAATAAAGTCGATGCAATAGTTACCTTCTGTGTAGAAAACGCGTCGAGGGTTAGGGAGCTTTGCACTCACCTATCAGCCGAGACATGATGCGTTCAGGTGACATGAAGCCTCCTCTCGGATCAGCCCCGCCTCTGCCTATCTCCATGTCCGGCCAACACTTGCATCCTGACGCTGCTGCTCCCATAGCAAACCCACTTTAATTAAAAAACATTAGGCTACAAACAAACTAAAACCTACAACAAACCTACCGCTGAAATACATGTTTGGCAAATCTTGGAGCTCTTCCAATGTAAAGCTAGAGAACACGCACAAAACAAACAGTATGTTGCTCTTTCAAGTGCAGACATTAAACATACAAATATAAATGGGATGATGTTTGTCACATAAGGCTGACTTATTGTTCCCAGTAGGTGTCGCTGTGACTATGACTCAATATTAACCTATAAAATCCTTCAGGTCGGGAACTAAGCACAAGGAATTTGGAGCATATTGGAGACTTCTCTATAACCACTTGGTGTTTAATGGCGAGTGTTTCAAATGGTGTTCCATGTAATAGAACGTTTTTAATAACGTTGTATACTTACTGTCGTAAGAAGGCATGCCTAGTGACCAAATGTGAAGTCGATTGGATTGTGTGTAGGAGTGTGTTAAAGAGCCTGAAAATACATGTTATACACGTGCAACTTACAATAGTTTTTTTCTATTTGAATAGACAACCCTTCAGAATGGTCTATTAATTAATGATACATACTAATACTATGCATTATACTAAATACATTTAGCACTGTTTTATATATACATATTTAATTATGTATGTCATGTGTATTTTAGTGTGTAATAATCACCAAAGCCATGAGAACCATCCACAAGCATCTCATTTCTATAATTCATCTCTGTGTGACAATATTAAACCTGAATACAAATCAGGGATGCAAACACACGTATGTTGAAAAAAGAGACAACTATTCGAAGCAGAAAAAAAAAAAGCGTAATATACCATCTGACAAAGGCTTGTGCTATAATGCTTCAATTAACTGGCTATTCTTTATAATATACTCAGATCAATAGGAGACAGAGATGTTAAGTTATAAATCAAGGTTTTTTTTATTATTTACACCGAGGGCCATTTCAATTTTTACAACATCCTCCGAGGGCCGTACAAATGATTGAACTCAACCTCTGCTTAAAAAAACTAAATCACAGCCAATTCATTTCGCCTTTCTTTCATGCTGTGCAAAGAAAAAGCAACCTCTTAATCCAGATATTTTACCATGACTCGCGCATGCATGCATACACGGTTGTTGTGGCATGACCACCAAAACAGAAAGATATGGACACAAGATGTGTGCAAATGTATTTAGTATCCTATCCATGTGGACATCATTTAAGTGGGAGGGGGACCTAACCTTCTCTAGGGGGGTCCGGGGGCAAGCCCCCCGGGAAGATTTTGTTGAAGTTAAAAGCATCAATCTGGTGCACTTTGAGAGCAAAATGAAGAGATCTATGGATACATCTCTCAACACCCATATGAAACAGACCTGTAAGCAGATTTTTCTTTATGGATATTTTACAAATCACTCCCCTTTTAAACTGTATTCTTGTTAACAACTTTTTTGTTTCTGTCATATAGCATTTTATACCCGTTTTCATTTAGTCTCTTATTTTTGGGCTTACAAGTTACAACTAAAGACACAGCCACGCAAAAACTGCGGCATGTGTACGGCATGCTCCTTGGGGTTCCGGTGCTCTCCGTCAGCACTACACCACGTGATGACACGTTACGCTCGTGTTGTGTTCTAGGAACGTGTCTTTGGCCAGGAAAAACAGGCACTAGTTTGTTTAATTCTTTTGCGGTCTAGATTTCTTAAACATTTTTTTAAGTGAGAAGTTGTCCGTCAGTCCTTGAGTCGGACCCCCACCCCAAAACGAAAACTCTTCGGTTCTCCACGAATTACACAAGTCACCAAAATCAGCATTAAAAAAGCGAGAGGCGCCGAAAAGCGACTAATTTGCATGCACGGACAAATGTAAAACCAACGCCGCACCTTTGGCAAGAAAGTACATCAAAAACTGTGGCTGCAGAGACGATGTATGCTTGATCTGTGCAAGTTAACGAGATGCTAAACTCGTTTTTAAACATCATGTTTGTTCCTATAAGGCTGAAAGTCTGCCGTTTTTCAAAAGACCCACAGAAATAAACGTTTTGCTTCCTTTTTTTTTTTAAAGAGACTGTAAGGCTCAAGTCCAGGACGGTCAACTGTTAAGTGTTTCAGATGAAGTTAATATGGTGTTGAAATTGTGACCCATTAGCAATGTAACAAGTTTATTCAATTTACTTTCAATTATAGTCATTGTGTACATGTAGTACTGCATCCCATCTGGAGCAGCTGGTGCTTTAGAAAACCATTTATGCAATCCAATAACACGTACAATTCACAAATCAGTCATAATCAGTAAAAATGTTAAATTTAATGGAAGTGAAAGTCATTTTCAGAAATCAAGAAAAAAACATGTTCATCAATGCTGTCACAGCTTCAAAATCTGGTACCTTTTAATAAGTCCTAGAATAGTTCTGGATGGGTACAAACTTAAAAAAAGACCGGGGGTGGATACAGGGAGGGAGGGACAAGTAGTCACGGGTGCTGCTTCAGAATCGTCCTGAACGCTCTCTGTCTCTAGAGCGACGTCTCTCGCGGTCACGGCCACCTCCTCCTCCTCCGCCTCCTCCTCCTCCTCCACCACCACCACCACCACCTCCTCCTCCTCCACCAGCTCCACCTCCTCCTCCTCCTCGACCTCTGTCCCTTGAGCGAGATCGCCTCTCTCTCGATTGAGACCGGGACCTATGGCGGCTGTGGTAGAGAAGGAGTAGTTATTATAAAATGCCACACAAACAACTACGCATGCATGTTTACTTAATGCCTCAATGTAATACTGGATGTGTTCGTACCCCTTCCTCCGACGACCATAGAGCTCCCTCCTGAGTTCACGTGAGATGGGCTTCAGATGCATGAAGTTACAGAAGCCACCACGAGTACATTCCCTGTGGAGAGAAGGCAACGGGTAGCAGAAATATCAGTAAGGTATAAGAAGATAAAATCATGTTAAGAATATTTGCTACATAACGTTATCCGTTTGAAATTATTTCAGAAAGACGAGCTGCTGCACTGCTCTGAATGTCAAGAGAGCCTATTTAATAGGGATGCTCCGATCGCCGGAATCAGTATTGGCCGATACCGATCCGATCGAGTGGGCGGGGCCTATGGGGATCTTCCATTTAAAGTGATGTTTAAAACTCAGTTAATGGGGCTCATTCACTGGCGCTTCCAAACAACAACCAACATAATTAATACATTGAATGAAGTACATTATTCAAGTTTACATTAACTTTGGATAATAACACGGGAGAAATGAGCAGATAAGCGCTCCTCTCTTTTCCTCTCTTTCCTCTTTCCTCTCCCTCCCCCCCCCCCCCCCCCCCTCTCTCTCTCCTGACAGCCTGTCAGTATCTCATGCAGCTCACTGATCCAGTAATGAGTGACCCGACAGTGAAGAATACATATATTTATAACTAGTTTAGCTTGTTCCAGAGGTAGATAAAATAGCTAAGTGTGTTAGGTCTAACTCTTGTGTGTTTCGCTCCGCTCACCGGTCCGTCACAACAGGTGGAGCTGCAGGATTTCTGCTTCACACACACGTTGCATACCGCTATTTTATTGTCCTTTTCGGACACCTTAAAATACTGCCAGACTCGTGAAGCCATTTTTGCGAGCTTGTTTTGCTGCGCACAGAGAAAAGTGTCATGTATTTTACATCATGCGATCGGCTCTCGTGATCGGCATTTTTAGAGAGCACCGATCGATCGGCAGAGAGTGAGTATCGGCCGATATCGATCGGTGCATCCCTACTATTTAATATAAAAAATGTGATGTGAATTGTATAAGGGGATACCTGAGAGATTCTGTTTCAGTTTATAGTTAAAATAAAACAAGATAAATGTTGACACGCTTGGTAAATATAAAAATGAGTTAAGTTAACAGGAAGTGGGTTCAGGGATATAGTAGTGACCAGACATTATGTTTAAAGTGGTATTCTGCAGCTGACGCCTACTTCCTTGTTGTGATGTAAAAGAATCAAAATGGTAACCATGAGGTATGAATCCTTGATATTGGTTAATCATTAAATAGGATACATGCAATCACATAGCACTCACCCCATCTCGTATTGGCGACAACAGGCTTCTCTGAAGTCTGTTACGGGAGACAGCTCAGCATGGATGGGCTGTCCATTAAACCACCGATTATTCAGGTCTATCACAGCCTTCTCCGCATCTTCTTCATAACGGAACTACAGGAGACATATGGAGAGTAGTTGATAGAACTCAGTCTCTGTTTCTAAGCTAACAACCTTGGTATTAAAGCAGTGGTAATATATGTAGTTTTTAGAACCGATGCTCACCTTGACATACACATTTCCAACTAGGTGGTCACCGAGGTTGTCACACACGTTCATCTCCTCCACCTCTCCATACTTTTCCTCCATCTCTGTGAAGACCTCCTGTAAGGTTAAGAAAGACAAAAATGACATAGATGATCATGAGTAGTAGTTACATTGTTGATTTTCAGTCCAGAAAAGTAATAGAATGATTGTTGAATCATTCTTATTTTGTTTCTACCTTATGACTGCTACAAATGTAATATATAAAGATAGTTGGGTCTGTTTACGCAAAATAGTACAGCCGCCATAATGTGATACTTGATGTATGTATTTTTAAAACAGGCCTATTATTATGTCATCAACAGCTACATACTGTAAAAGGTGTAACCCATTTTAAAACAAGGTTTGTTGAATCATTTCCTCAAAGAGAATGTATCAGCTACAGTGGTGTGGTTGGGGTTTGAGGAAAATATTCAGAACTTACCTCAAAAAACTCATCATAGTGCTCCTGCATCTCCATGTCACTGATGGCACCTTGTGGTTATAAAAGAGAATTTAAAAAAACAGATATATTATGTCCTTTCTTTTCAATGCCAGTGATTCAACAAATACATTTTTCATGCAACAATGACAAGCCTGCATTAAGTAGTTTCAGCCACTCAAAATGCTGACATCGGATCATAGGACTTCCACCTGAACAACCCTCAAAGACTGTTGGCCTTTCTTTCACTTTATTTATCATTAAAATATCGATAAGATGAAAAAAACAATTGTTGTGTACACTTTATAAAAACATGCTCTTGCTTTTTAAGAATTGGCTTGAAAATCCAGAGAAACACTTACAGGTGAGGCCATCAGCAGACTGGGCACTGTTCTGAGGGTTCCTGTAAATGTTCAGGAGGGCAATTGTCTGAAACAGAAAAAATAAAATTATTGGAACAATTTGTTTGGATAGGGGCTGGGTATTAAACTGCTGTGTTTATTTTCTAGTAATGATCACACAATGTGTCCACAGCATAGAAAACTGACAAATAAGATGTGTGAGTCACAGTTAAAACTTAGACAATCTTATAGCTCCTATTATATACACAAGACATGAGAAATAAAAGCTCTGGTCTGTATCATTTTTATCATAACAATACTTTGAAATAAACATTTATAAATAATCTTACCTGGCTGAATGTTGGTTTATTGTGTAATCTGGAGCAGCGGTCGCCATGTCGGCAGGCACCAATTTTAAAATAAAAAGAGCAGTTGACCCTAGGGAGAAAGACACAATAAATGCAGATGAAGTAAACATAAAAGCATTCTCTTGACCCTGTCTCCATGTTTGCTAAAGGTTATGTGGCTTAGGTTTCTTGTCCACGGGCTAAATAGCAAGCATATTATCACATTTGACCTGCCAGTTAAGGGATTATCCTTGAGTTTTTTAGCTGGTAAGAAAAGCAAATCTACCAGCCCCTTGTATATTTACCAATGAATCTGCTAGTTTCAGTTTCAGGTCTATCAGTGTGTATTCTTCTTTCTGTGTCTTTGTATGCACCACATATACAAAAACCTAGTGCTCGTATATGTGAAGCTACTTTGTAATACAAACAGACTAGTTTTTGAGCTGAGTTTAACTAGGAAAACATGCATATTTTGGTCACAGAGAGGTACCCAAATAAAAATCTTGCTATGCTTACAAAATATGATTAAAAACGATATTTTCATTCTGTGGGTTGCTGATGTACGTTTGAATTTACGCGTGTATGTAGTTTGAAATGCTCCACAGGTCCTATCTTGTTCAGGACTCATTCAAAAATATATTGTTTTGGACCGACATGGTTAAATTAAGTTTTTTCTAAACTTTCGTATATGATTAAAGGAGAGCTATCCGTTTGGAGAAACCGATCCTGAAATTAATTAATAGTGAAGCGGGGGAGATACACTTGCACCCATTCATTAACGTAACTTGTGATTTGGCGTAATATCGGCAACCAAAAACCAAAAGAAACACTGTGCAATTAAATGCTATGGCGTTTGGTACAATTTGTTATTTGGATACAATTGTGATTAGCTTGTTTAATGTTGGATAATGACAATCCGGGTATGACCTACTGTAACAAAGGCTTCTTATGAGTTTCCTTAAGTAGCTAAGTATCATTAGCCAACTCCAATAGTAGAGAGTAGTTAGTGTATTTAATTGGTTAAGAGATTTGTATTCACAAAAACAAACTCGTTGTAATCGTTTTATTCTAACCATCCCAGAAATGCTCAGCAGAAGCCAGATGTTGGCTAACAGTCGCGGCGCGGTATTTTACAAACGCTAGCCAGCGTGCTAGCATTTAGCCTAGCTGCTAGTTGTTAGAGCCGGTGAAACGTGTCCAGATAGAGTCTACAAACGCTACTGTATACATTATTAGTCATCAAAGCAGGTGCAAGAAGTGATTATTGAACACATTGCTTAACAATGACTTAATAACAGATAAATACTTACTTATCTTTCTCTGTCCCAAAAATGGACGCCAAGTATTCCGCCATCTTGGCTAGCCTGCGCTCAACCAGCAGCAGCAGCAGCGTCAAGGCTTCCGTCCTCCTCCTTCAGAGTAAATGTCTCCACACATATAACTGCGCTAAAAATGTGTTTTTTTCCCCACAAAACTTGCTCAAATTATTGAAATATGCAAAAGTATATTCATTACACGTGGTCATTGTAATGTTATCTTATCCTATTTATCAATTCGTTGGATTTATTTATGGTAGCTAGCTAGTAATTAGGCTTCATCGGTTTATGTTTCGCTGAGAAAAGCATAACATACATTAACTATAAACTGCATCATGAAGAATATCGATTTACCATTATTACTAATCAAAGAAAATGATTTAAAAAATAATAATGCAGATTGTCTTTTTTGTGCAGACTTCTCGACTGATAAGGTAGTTTAGAAATCAAAACTTAAACCTGATGGCCTTTATTTTGAAGGGCAGCGCGCACACCGGACATGTGTCATTTCGCTCACTTCCGTGTCTACAGTGCTTTTCGAAACAAAAGCTTTTTCCACACTTTAAAGTCCTCTTTTGTTGAATTTGTAGAATCATTAAATATTTTACCTCTTAAATAATTTGTTGTCATGTATTATATATTCAGTGACAAATATGCATTAGAAGGTAAAGTAGGCTACCAGATTCCTTTGAATGTAAGGGTTTTTTTTAAGGGAGTGGCACCCAAACAAGGCCTGAGTATTGGTGTTGCTGAGAACTTGAGGGACTTACAGTAAAAGTGAGTGTGCAATACCACCTGCTCATTAAAGCAACAACTTTCAATATTATGGATATTTAAATGTAATGACATTATTTTATAAAGATGTTATAACATACATCCTTGTGATCTCCAGGGAGGGAAGCATCATTATGGAAGACATGAACATAAGACATACAAAAACAAGGAACAGGTCATGTAAAAACAGAAACATGACCAATTTTTTTTTATCAAGATACATTTATTAGTTAAACTATCTCTTGCACTTTATTTAGGAACAATTGATAAAAAGTGAAGTCCTGACTGACTACAAATCATCCACAAAAAGAAAACCATCATCAGCACATCTAGAGAGTAGAGACACTAGCTTTATATAATATTTAACTAGATTAATAAGATGAACTAACATGAAACAGTACAAACATAACATTCAACAGATACAAGAGTCATGATACTGTATATCAAGGAAAATTAAGAGACGTTTTCATTATTATTTACAAAATTACCATAGTACTTGGTATTAATGTGTTTTATCCAAAACATGTACCGATAAAAAACTATTATATAGTATATATACATATATATATATATAAAGTAGTATATTGCAAAAATAAAGTTGGATTACGAAACAGAAAAAGGGAAACTGCCCCAGAACTCCAAACCCCCTAGCCCCCAAGGGACCAGGTACTGAATTGTTAGGGGCCTCAATATTAATGTGGCTCCTGTATTGAGATTTTGTCAAGGGGGCCTGTGTCAAAATACATTTAAAATGTTGTGCTTACATGGTGCACACTTTTTCAAACAGGAAAACATTTTGGTTTGTGTGACCGTGACCAAATGTGTGCAGAGTGAGGCTAAATAGAGGCTCATCTTTGCCCCAGTATCGCATAGTGGGCTATCACCGCCCAGATCCTCCTCATATCTTGCTTGTAATTATACCTAATGCTTTCTTTTAACGTTAACAGTCTGCAGGAAACACAAAGAAGTTCAACATAAATATGACTTTAGTCAATTGAGGCTTCACAGCATTTCAGTCTCTCACAAATGTATGTATTACTACAACAATCAGTATTTATTCCACTGTACAGTATTTCATTTTACATTCTGTTCTTGTTTATCTTATGCTATGTACATGCATAGAGACCCTATGCAGCATTTAGCTTGTTGTTTTTTACTTGACATGTATATAATTCACTTCTCCTGCATTTCTTGCACATTGGTCTTGCACTATTTGTATTGGGTTTGTGACATTTATTTTCCATTATCTATTACCATAACCACACTGTAGCTACTGTGCATATGACAATAAAGCCTTTGAAACTTAAGTTGATGGGAATAATATGGTTGAAGAACTGGAAAGTGTGTTGGCCATTTAAATGGACCACTAACATGAAATTCAAAGCTGATGGGAAAAAATGTTTGTTATTAAAACATTATGCTGGACACACATTTGTATTGAGAACCCCAAACTATGGAAACGTTACACAAGTAAACACTAGTCACATTTTGTATTTTCCATACAAGTGTAGGGTAACTGTCTTGCCAGTTAGTCTCCGCCCCTCCCCAGAGTGTGTTGACCAAAAACTTGCATGATACGACTCGACTGTGTGAAATTTGGCTGCCTATCTACCACAGTTGAACACAATCAAACATCTCTCAAGGCCTGCATTTTCACAGGTATGGATATCTCGCAGATTGCGCTGCTTATTTAAGAGGAAATGTACTAAATCGCAGCCATGTGAAGGGGTCTGTTTGCCGTGCTTTAGACTCTTCCCGCTATTTTGTGGCTTACTAGCCTGCTAGCTGTTGTTTATTTCCTAGCCTAGTAGGAAGAGGCCGCCTACCTTCAGGCAGTCATAAAAACACACTCACAGAGCATTAGCCAACTTGAAGCTAGGCCAACGCTGCTACTTGTGCCATTTCTGCATATGGAAGATTAAAACAGCCGGAGTATAGTTTAAGACAATCTCTGTTGTACCAGTTTAGTGTTAGCCGGGTTGCTATCTGCAGTGAAGAGGAGAGACTGCTGCCGCGCCTCTGATCGCCGTCCAGCCTCAAACACAGTGCGTATACGTCCAGACACGATTAAAACTGCTTTTTTAGTTCGTACTTCTCCGTATTGTTGCAGTCAGTATGTAACTGAACGATGTTTAGGTGTCATAGCAACACCGCTGCTGCTCTTTTCTCCTGAAGCTCGTGTCGCATTTATGGCGGCTGCTCTCGGAAGTCTTGTAACGCTGTAAACCTTAGCCAGGATTTCCGGCTCCTTTCCATTTGCCCTATGCTGTTTTGTTTCCGTTTATTCTATTTCCGTTTTTTAAAACTTTTCTACATGCAGAGTTAAAGTGGGATTTAACAACGATTTGTTACGGTTATGAAGCGCGATGTGTTTCTGTGGTATTTTAACGGCTGTTTCTCACGTTGGGAGCAATGGTTGTGTAACGGCAGCCTCGCCCCGTGCTGCATTCGCGTGCAAAATAGTAGCTAACTCGGCTCACTGTACACAAGCTTCAGTGTGTCGACACGTGTAGCCTGGTGTATACATTTTACTTTTATGTGATTTTTCAACATCAGTTCATTATGTGTAGTTATACGTGGTAACACCTAATGTAACTAATGGCCTACCAGTTGGCCTTTAGAAACCAATGCCTCGCCCTCGAGTTGGCTAACGTTAGCAGTCAGTGAACTGTTGTAGGCGGACAATGAGGAGTCGAGGCAAGAGGCCTCTATAGTAGAACCCCCCCCCCCCCCCAACTGCAAACTTTAGCCAGCACCACGTAAATACACACTTCAGCCGGAATATTCTCACGTATCGAAACCTCAATTATTTAAACTTTTTGTATGCACTTTTAGTTGTCTGTGCTCACAAACCTTCCAATCACAGAATAATAAATACAAAAACACAAGCAGTTATTTTCCTTCAGTGGGCAATAGTGTGTCTGTGCCATAGAGTGAAACTTTTGTTTTAAGGCTAATGTTTTTAATGTATGTTTATATATATATATATATATATATATATATATATATATATATATATATATATATATATTCAGGTCATCATTGAAAATAAGAATTTGTTCTTAATTGATTTTCCTGACTAAATAAAGGTTCTATATATAATTCAATATTTATAGCATTAGGTAAAACAACTATTATGCATGGTTACCATTTCTTATTGCATTGGTAGTTTCAGGTTAAAGAGGGAAAAAAAGAGTAGTACAACAGATTGCATGTACCAAAACATTGATTGAGGGGTTTTCCAACTACAGTAATAATAATAATAATAATAATGGGTTTCATTTATAACGCACTTCATATATGAGTTAAAATCCCGAAGTGCTACAAGCAGTGAGCATGGAACAATATAAAACAGTAGGTCACATCCCCTAAGTATGTTGTCCATTTTCCCACTAGTTTTTATTTATCAATATGTAGTGTTAAGAAAAAGGGTTAATTGAATCTCTTGCAAATATGAATTGTTTAGAGAGCAGCTCCGAAATATATGAAAGTAGTCTGCATTAATTTCCAACATTCAAACTGTTCCTGCGAATCCTGCTGTATCGATTACAATTTTGGACTCTCAAAATATAGTATGTTCATTCAGCATGAGGTCTGCCAGGATCTTGGTAGTCACAGTCTGACCCTCCCAAATAACATTTAGTGCCATTTGAAATGTGACACTTTTCTTTATTTCTTTGTCTTACAGTATTGTATTGCATACGTTGAAGACATCATCATTGACCTGGTGTGAATGTGTTTTTGATTATGGTCGGCTATAGTATGTAGTGTATCTAAGCATTAGTAACGCAACCTTTTTTTAAATTTCCTACAGGTTTTTTCTCTGCGTAGAACATAATGTCTAAAGGTGAACCTGAAGAAATGATAGAGATCGAGATAGATGAGCAGGAGAAGCAGGCATGCCTGGAGGAAGGGTAAGCAGGAAGAGGATAATTTGAATGGCATACTCTTGCACATGAAGCAAATAAACACTAATCCCCCCCCCCCCTCTCTTGTACATGTAGTGTTGAGGAGCAGACCATTACTGCGTCAGATCTGATTCAACAAGATATTGACATCAATGAGCCCATTGGCAATTTGAAGAAGCTTTTGGAGCCCCGCATCCAGATATCACTGGATCCGTATGAGATCTGCTTGCAGGACATTCAGGTAAGAATTGAGATAAATACAACATATTAAGATCTCTCTATGATTCGATAATGTTTTTGCTGCTAACACAATAGTCATGTAATTGATCTTATAGTAGTCCTTTGAACTGCCAAGTGTTGCTTCTTTTTTTTAAAGCTTATCTGTTGTGTTCTTCCTTTTAGCTTCACCCTGACCACAGCCTCTTTGACCAGGGTGTAAAAACCGATGGCACCGTGCAGCTCAGCCTGCAGATAATAACCAAACCAGGTACTCGGATGATGCTTTAAATATCAGATAATATAAAGCTTTGTATTACTTTTGATATCCAAACTTAACATTCATCATACACCAAACCAAACTCACCTATTTGTTTTCTTTCCCTTGTCCAGGAGAGGAGAAGTTGAACATTTTGGAAATTGTGAAGCCGGTAGAAACAGTAGAAGTGGTTATTGACCCAGATGCGGGAGAGGATGGAACGATGGTAGAGGAGGGTCAACTCATTGCTGTGGAGCGATCTGGCCTCTCTGATGAGACCTCGGAGCAGGTTACACGCTGGGCTGCAGCACTGGAAGGATACCGAAAAGAGCAGGTTCGCCTGGGCATACCATATGGTGAGAATCACTTGAATAAGACGCTTTATTGTGGGAAGAAACATATTTAACGTGGTGAACATGGTGTTTGATGTTTCCTCCTCTCCTTCCCCAGATCCTGTGCTCTGGTCTGCTGACCAGGTGATCCACTGGGCAGTGTGGGTAATGAAGGAGTTCAACATCGATGAGATGGAAATCGGAAGCATTCACATTCCAGGTCGAGATCTCTGCTTCTTCAGCCAGGAAGAGTTCCTTCAGAAAGTTCCCAACGGAGAGATACTCTGGAGTCACCTGGAGCTGCTGCGCAAATGTAAGTTAAATAGTTATTAAATGTTTTTGTAGCGTAAAGTTTGTGTTTTAAGGGGTCACCAGATGTAATGGAAGTACAAGTCCCACCTTGTTTATACCTAAGACAGAAATCATAGCCTAATAAATGTGTCAGTACTAATGCCTTGTATTTATTTCAGATGTGTTGGCAAGCCAGGACCAGTCTGGTGGGGACGCTACTGTCACCATTGATCAGCGTAAGTGGTTTATTGAAAAAACCAACAAAGCTAGCACATTAGGGGAGAAAATAGCCGCGTTCACACCAAGTACTTTGCCGTACTCAGTGCCCCGGCACTTATTACCCCAGGGCACTTAGTGCAGATCGCGTTCACACCGGAATAAATTCCCTGAGGGAAGATTACGCAAATGAGCCGCTGACGTCACTTCGTCTTCTTCTGCTTTGGATTTACTGGCAGGCCGCAAACAACTTCACGGCGTATACTGCCACCCAGAGTCCCCGGCCGGAAGTCCCCCGGAGTTGGGGACTGGCTTACAGAAGGAAAAGCTCTACTTACATTGTAATGGACACTAGCAGTTTTTCCTGATCATTAATATTCTGGTTATCATTAACTTTCCGTCTGTGTCTTCAGCCGTACAGATAATCCCAACACAAGTAAGCACACCCACTACCATAAAGGTGATGAAGCAGAGCCGTGGCCCCAGAACACCGCGTATTTCAGGAGGAGAGGAGCGAAGCTCACCGGGCAACCGCACAGGTAATTCATAACCCATGATGTTGATGTGTCATTTAAATCTAAGCAGGTTACATACTTTTTTTTAGACACACAACCTTAAAGTACTAAAAAGACTGGGAGGAGGGTTTGTTTACCAGAGTTATACCATATACTGTATTTTTACAAAGCTTTCAATCTGTCAGTATTGTTGGCCAGGTCTATACAGATGTGGAACTTTACATAAATTGGCAGAATAATCAATTATAGAAATGCATCTATTATTTCATGTGATTTTTGTGACTGGTATTTTACACTGAATGCTCTGTTTCTTTGGTGCCAGGCAACAACGGTCAGATCCAGTTGTGGCAGTTCCTGTTAGAGCTGCTGACAGACAAGGATGCAAGAGACTGCATCTCCTGGGTGGGCGAGGAGGGCGAGTTCAAACTCAACCAGCCGGAGCTGGTGGCTCAGAAATGGGGCCAGCGCAAGAACAAGCCTACTATGAACTACGAGAAACTCAGCAGAGCCCTCAGGTTGGTTTCTTCCTTTTAAAGGGGTGTTTAGTATTGTACTCCCATAAAGTTGAAGAGCTTTTGGTCAAAATGAGATATTAGATAACAAGAAATTATTTAATTCCATGTGGTAAAATACTTAAGTTGCAGGATTTTATTTGGGCTCCTTTCAGGCAGTTTTCTAACGTTCATTCTCTCTCTCAGGTATTACTACGACGGGGACATGATCAGCAAGGTGCAGGGCAAGCGCTTCGTCTACAAGTTTGTGTGCGACCCTGAGAACTCTGATTGGCTACAGTGCTGCTGACCTCAACAACCTGGTGACCGAGTGTGAACAGAAAAAATTGGCCCGCATGCAGATGCACGGCATTGGTCAGCCCATCACCACGGTGACGCTGGCCACCACCGCACTAGACAAAGACAGTTGAAGGAGGACATGTGAAAACGCTCTCCTGCCGCCAAAGTTTGCTCTCCAGCGCTGATTGGAAATCAAATCAACTTTATTCTTTTTTTGATACAACTGTGTTTATCAGGCACAAAAATGCAAGGCTGATCATTGTGGATTAACAACTTTGTTATTATCTTTACAGTTTGAAGTGAGTCTGAGGCGGTAAAAATGAATTAACCAAGAGATGTGTTCTGGAGGAGGAGGCGGGTGTCTGTGATGGAGTATTGCTGCGTGCATGTTGCTTGAATGCTTGAGTGAGTGAATGAGTCCCTTGTCTGTAGTTTAGAATCATTTCCACTGTATATACCGGTACTTCATGTTTTTGATAGCCACCAGGACAAGTGTATTTTCATATTTTCCATTTATAGAGGACCTGCTTTGTATTTTATTTAGTGTTTGTTCCCTAAATTGTTGGACCCTTTTTTGTCCACTAGAGGGAATAAAGTGGCGAGCATTTTTCTTAATGTCTGTGATTCAGTCTTTTCATCTCTGAACTTATTAAATATTCTGTATAAATCATAGTAAGGAACTTAAAATGACAAACAGCCAGCAATTTATGTACATTCAAAATTTTATTTATAGTGAGTGTAGAAAGCTTTTTCCTTACTCTACGCAAATGGTCCATTTAACTACACAATAATGGGGGAAAGCATCATTTTTTTTAAAACACATTTCTCCAAAGACACCCAGAGTGAGCATCAATTCAAATTTTAAAACATTCACCTGATTAAGGGCTTCACTAAGTGTGTCTGATCACATGTGAGTATAATGTGTAGAGGCGATATGTGTTGTATTCTATGGTATAAAAAGCACAATATTCATGTCACATTCATGTTTACTGGAGGTGGCATTAATAACTTAATCAAGGGAGAGGGAAATGTGTCTCTATGCCGATGTGACATGTGGTCCACTCCCAGTACTGATGGTGATAATTCATCTCTTCATGATGATCGTTAACAACAGATATGCAGGCAAAGAAACATTCACCACAGGACGAACAGAAGCACTGTACATGTTTACGCAGGAAATGTAGAAAAATAGAATGAGAGAGAGATTTGGTGAAGGAATGTGTGAAGAGGAGAAACGCGTCATATCTGTTGGCTCAACAACAACTTGTCTTTTTAGCAAAATACTCCTAAGTGCTGTGCTTCACAATAATGCTGACACAGACAGAAAGAGTGGATAAACAGGAAAGACAGGGGTTAGAAAGAGAGTGAAGAACAACTAAACAAGGGGGAAAGACTTGAGAGGTGGAGCTTGATAATGAAACTGGGCCATTGAGAGCTGATCTCCAAATATATAAACTCAAGAGTGGAATGATAGATCTGGAATGATAGATTTAGAAAGTTCGATTTAAACCTGTTAAAAACCCAATGAGCAGCATGAATTGGCATTAGGGAATTAACAGGAATAATATTTGGTGATCTTCTAAAATGACAGAGTGCATAGAACGCAAACAGTAACAAAATTGTCTTCCTTTCGGATACTATAACACTTCATATATATTACATATAGAGCATTCTGCCCATGCAGCTAACACAACAGTGAAGCATGGAGATGAGTGTAATGAGCCAAAGTTAAAGCAAGTCTGTGACAACAAAGCAGACCGGTTCTGAATACTCTTTTTCTTCTTCATATCACAAGATCACAAAGAAGACACGAGAAATGTACAATCCTGCTAAAATATCTAGTAAGAGGACCTCTCTCCAGGACCTCAACATACAATATACTGCATCTGTCTTCAATATTGCCATGCACTACATATACTTACAGCTAATCTCTGTCTTAATATATTACACATAAAAAAAAAAATAAGAAAACAAAAAAAACATTCAAAATTCTTCAACTTTTACATATTTTGATTATGGTTTTTTCTTTTTTTTCTTCTTTTTTGAAAAACAAACCTGAAACAGTTGGGCTTTAATCGTGCGAGAGCCTCCGCCCGCTGTCAGCTCTAAGAGCTGTTATGTCATCAAGCACAGCTGCCATCGCAAAATGGAACAAACCGTGCAGAGCGAGAGGGAGAGGCAGGGATTTAAACAGCTTGGATTTACATGTTTCTGGTCTCAGTGGCGAGTCAATCGTCAACAGGGTTTTTCACTACAAACACTGATGTCTTTGTTTTGATTTGCAGAAATGTGCAGGTAAAACAGGGACCCTTGTCTTATCAATTACAGGTAAATATAATGTGTGGCGCTTTACAATTGAGGGATAAAGAAGGGATTGTGCCATGTAATTATTTCGGCCCCAAACTTCAGATTGAGACATAAACTGGTACAAATACTTCCCTCTCATCATTTCCTAACTTGTAAGCAAGATACAAATCAGCCTTTGCAGGACTCTTCACACCTCTCCTTTGCCTGTAGTGGTGAGAAACTGAAGGTGTAGGGGCTAAGGGGGCAGAAAGGAACAGACAGTGAGTTTTAGGGATACTTCAGGGGGGGGAAATGTTGATGAGCTGTTAGTTCTGCATCTGTTCAAAGAATTTGTAGGTGGGGTTTTCGTAGCCGTTCTGCTGCATCTTGGCCAGGTGACGCTCCTCTGGAGTCACCGCTGCATCGACCTACAGACACACAGAGAGGGGATCAGTGTCACAAAGAACTAACGATTGTACAAACTAACTGCTGCATTCCTCACACACATCTTTTCAAAATACCCTTTCTTTACCTCGATCACACCGTGATGAATAGAAGTATACTGTTTCTTTCTCAGCATCACCAAGGTGATGACGATGACGGTTGCTATGACAACCCCTCCAACCATAAGTCCAATAATGGCCCCCTTATTGGATCCAACATCCTCAGCGAAAAACACCTGCAGTTAATTGGAAAAAGAAAGAACAGAAATAAGTGCAGGGCCAGAAATAAAAGACACCATTATGTGCGTATTGTTGGATTTCAGCTCTTTCATACCAGTTTTCTGAGGGTTGACTTCATATCCAGCACTTTGCCTCTCGTCAGTATTTATCCGCACTTTTGGCATCTCCTCTGGCTTCAGGGGTGATACTGAAACAAAAATACACAGCAAATATTTGTTATAAAAACACATACATGTATAAAGGAATGTAATAACGAAATACATATTGCATTATATTATATTTGTACTGTATTAAAAAAAAGCTAAAAAGATATTTGAAACTCAGCGTTACTTCATTTAGTTGATGCGTTTCCCAGATTTAAACTGAGCGTTAAAATAATTATAGTTTTAACCAGAAATCTCCACAGGTCAACTACAAGATCTAACATAACAGAACATTTGTACTTGTTCTCCTCACATCATGATTGGTATCAAACAATATTATGCAGCCACATCACCCCAAGGTACATTTAAATAAAAAAATGTAAAGTGCCCAGTCATGTTTAAAGTGCTCACAGTCATACTGGACTCAGAAATGGTCAGAAATACACACAAACACACACTCACCAGGTCGTGTAGGGTGTCCTCTATCTGGAATTGGACGAGCATCAACAGGCTCAACTGCAGGAAAATGAATAAAGAACATTAAAAAAAGCACCTTACATGCCATATCGTGAAAAAGTCAAATTGATATACATTTGCATTTTATGTTATTCAAACAAGTTTAAGCTATGCCTATACTAAAGTACCGTAGGTGTGTGTTACCGTGGTTTTCTGTGTTGACCTGGTTGAAGCTCTCAGGGTGGACGAAGCCCAGTCCGTTCCAGGCCGGGCTCCATGGGGGCAGAGCTGTAGGCCTGGTCTGGCATCAGGGCGTCGTTCCCGTAGCTCACCCTGCCGTCCACCTAAACACACAGAGCCACTTTAACAGGGATGAAGATGCACTGGTGGACATTTCCTAGGCCGATTCTGACATGCCATTTTTTTGGTGCAATTCCATATGTGTGAGAAATGATCATTACATCCAAATTCCCCTAAGTGTCTAAATATGGACATATTGATGTGAGACTGTCTTTAACTTTCTTAAGAAGTGGAAAGTCAGTTATCACTCATTGAACTCTAACTGGCTGTTGTGATTATTTGCCCAATACACTAAACTGAAATCTAATTATATCTATGACTGTGAGAGTCTAGACGTTTTTTCCCTTCAAGTACAGTGTTCTCTTGTGTGACCAAATGTTTCTCCCTTTTTGTTCTCAATAACAGTCACAACTATCTGTGATCAGCTGAGCCATTTGAACAAAATCTCTTCCACCACCTGCTCTCAAAGACTGCATCAACCTTTCTTTGTGTGGGACTTTGTTTCTCTCCACTGTCGGACAGAGGAGACTCTATTCAGAGAGCTGGTGCAGTTTTATACTGGACACACTCCATACATGTGAGTGGGTGAAACTGGACTCCACCCGCCCATCGCTCTGCAGAGAGGAAACTTGCTGAGACAGCTCTGCCTGGACTCTCTGCATCAGAACAGCTGGGAAGCAAAAGGAGAAAGCGAGTGTGAGACGCAGCACGATGATAGATGGTGTGCGCGGTGTGCTGGTTACTGAAGACAAACTAACTGCCATCAGCACACCATCCATCACCTCAGACATGCTGTTAAAGTGGTTTCTGTCTCACTCAGCACTGAGCTTCTTCATTAAGTCTGTTTGTAACATCAGCTGGTAATAGTAGGTTTGTAAGTTTCATAATTTAACAACTTATCTTTTAAAAATGAAAACATCACACCATGACATAAACATGTTAAGCCCACATCTTTAAAATGTATTGTTGCTTAGTCTGCTGATTATTTCCCCAACAAATCAATTACTCATTGGTCCCTAACATGACAGAAAACATTGAAAAATGCCACAATTAAAAAGGCTCATAGGTAAAGGCAATATATTTAAAGTCTTAATTTGTCCGACCAATAGTCCAAAAAAGGTTTTTATTTATTGAGTTTCCGTTTTTGGATTTGCATTTTATTGTTATTTAAAAAAAAAAAAGTGCAATATATTTATTTACATTTTATAGGCTGAAACTAGTGAATTTTTGGCAATGTTAAAATAACTTAAACATTTGATCTTTTATCTTGATTTTGCAGATAAGTATAAATGTTTCTGATCAACACATTTTTCTAGCTTTAAAACTGATATTGACTCACAACTGTGAAATCTAGAAATAAGGGCCAAACAAAAAAATAAGCTATGGAAGAAAATAGTACTTAATATTTTTTGTGTTTTTCAGCATTTAACTGAATTGGATCTGGTAAAATATTATCAGGTTATAATAATTATAACTATGATCACTATAATAATATGTGACCTGCTCCATCGAAATCAGTCGCATTGACCCAAAGACACATTTTGAGTTAGTATACACTGTTGGAAAGAGGAGATTCCTAGCTTTCTAATGATATCTGGATTGTTGTTGTAATATTAAGCAAAATTTGTCACATTATATAATGACTGTTACCGTTACTGTTATCTATGATTACTATACGCCTTACATTCATAATGTCAGCCGGAGGGAGGGGCAGCGGCGCTGCGGAACAGCAGAGTGGCGAG